TTTGTCTGTAAACAAGACTGATTGTCTTCAGTCAGTGCAACCATCTCCTTGCTAGCCGGAAGGAGGGAATTTTGCCATTTGCCTTTAGAAGATCCTTTGGACAAGGATCCAGGCCACCATCAGCCCTAGCTTGTACATTATGAATCCTTAATAATTTGTGCAAACTTTGGCAACAGAGAGCTTTCTTGTCTTATGCATCAAAATTTAATATTAATATTTATTGAGCATAATGTCTAACAAAACACCATTCCATGACTGTGGAAAGAGTGGTGGTGAACAGCTTCAAACAGTCAATAATTAGGAGCATTCTGCAGCAGGGTTTTTCACAAGAAACTCTGCCTTGAGTCCAGAGGGCAGTGTCACAGTACCACACATTGCAATTCCTGTGGAAATATGAATAATACTGATAATGAACCAAAGTTTCTTTCAGCTGATAGAGCAAGTGGATTTCACACTTCCCAGTGTTCCATCAATTGTCAGATAATAGACCAAAATGATATGCCGAAGGGTGCAAATAATTATTTCATAGCCAGCTGGCTGGCTGGAGAGCTAGCTGGCTGGCTGGCTTTATCAACAAGAATTTCTATCACAGTGTTGACACGTGGACCTGCTCTGAATCTTGCAGTGCTACCAGACAAGGCTTTCATGCTCCTTCATTCCTAAGAATTGTACTGAAGATTCAGATGAAGTTGTCACTCATTTACAAGCTGCAACCCAACCTCCCCTCAGAGTAGTGCAAATATTCACATGCAGACATACACTAGGCTGAGCCATTTCACACACACACTTACTGAAAAATTCTGGAAGCTGTCCTCATGCCCATTCCATGATTTGTAGAGAGCAGACAGGATAGGAGATGCAACTGGCTATGTCCCAGATGTTAGATGCAAAATGATTACAGCAGAGCTGCAACTCCTAGAGGATCCCAGTGGATCACAATGCTAATGTCATCATATCACATCTGGCTATGGTGCCACATTTCTGTAGTCCTCTCTTCTCCCCATGAATCATGAAATGACCATGCAGAGCAGCTTCAAGAGTTTTAAAGTTGGGATGAGGGACTTTGGACATTGGAGGAAAGAAAATAATACCAACCCGCACAGGAA